CTCGGTCTGTTGTCTACGGCTCACCTCCTTGGGGGACGCGGACTGGTCAGTGGTCGCGACGACTGCCGTTTCGGCGCGGCTTCTGGCAGGTAAAGGACCGCTAGAGGAACAGAGACTGATTTATTGACGTCCCGTCCTGACCGGATCAGGTCAGAGTGAGGTGGCGAGGCGTTAAATCAGTGCGGACCTGTAAGTACCTTCCAGACAGAAGCCGTCTCCACCAGCCAACGCTGCTGTGTGTCTGGATAGGCGTGCGTTTGATGGCAGCAGTTGCAGGACCGATCGAAGGCCCCTTTATGACCTCAGGAGTCTGGCGCGCCTTGCAGACCAGATGGCCTTTAAATCATCTCCACTGGCGGTGCGTCCACGACCGCCCACCGGTGAACAGAAAGGCAGTGGACAGACTCTCTTGGAGACTGCTCGCTTTAAGATGATTTACGCTACTTATTGAGCGGCATGCTGCACCTGCGTGCTGCGTATGAAGATTAATATCGACATGCCCCAGCTGGGTGGTTTGATCGTGATAGCCTGGAATGGGACGGAACGCAGTGCAAATTCGTATGGTGATTTCCAACTCCGCCCAACTATTACGGATGAAAAACGTACTTGATTATACTTCTGTGTTGCATAATCCGTTTGGGTTTTTCATGAGCTAGCAGCACGCGAACAAAGACCTCACGTGAGTTTCGTGTCCAAGTTTTCACGGGATCTCGCCTTTTTATGGTCACCTCACCTCTGCTACGAATGGGCATACTCGATGTTTGCGCAAGGACGGTATAAAAAGCCGTACGTGTTTTCTGGTGTGTTTATACCACAAACCTGATGTTTTCGTTGTCATATCTCCGGCAGTAAACAGACTGCTGTGCGACGCACTGACTAGCGCGCCTGTCGCCTGTCGTGCGACGTTTGTGGAGCCGTTCGTGGCCTGGTGTGTTTTACCGAAACCATTCAACTGTGAAGGCTGAGGATGGATCATTACCCACACACAGCTCCAAACCACCGGGACCGTGAGAGTGTGCTCCACTCTGCCGCTCGGTTGTTTCCCAGCAGCACTGTCCCGTCCGCCGCGCCCCGCCGGCCGGGCACCACCGCCCAGTCGCCCAGCGGACCCAATTACCTGGTCATTAACGTAATTGGGCGGCCACGTAGGGCGTTAACTTGGCGCACCGAAAATGCCTCGCAATTACGTCCCCTCACACACACCGACCTCGCCTCTCAGCGGTCTCACACGAGCGATGAAGTCGTGTCGACAGCTCGGCGGCCTCTCGGCACCTCAGAGTCGGCCCGAGCTGCGCCTCAGGCTGACAGACACCGCGCCGCGTGCAGAAAACAAACGCTGCAGACAGCGGCGAGCTCCATATTTGACGCAGTCACGAACGGCGTCTGTTTAAAATCCGCCGGCGTCCGTGCTCGAGCGTGCTGATACGGCCGGTCGCTGTCGAGTGTGTGCGACTCGGCAACCGTGTCACACCGGTCGGCGCGACTTGATTCCCAGCCGGTGCGATGTCAATGAGGGGCCTTCCGACTGTTTACATGTAGTCGTGACTGGATTGGCGCCGCCTTGATGGTCGGATCACACTCGGTCGAGCTACCGGCGTGGATACAGCGGTCATTAGCAAGGCACTGAGCGGCCGGAGCGCTTATCAACTGTGCCAAAACCGGAGACCAACAGAGCGGCGACATGAGAGCGAGGGCAGTGTCAGCGGGGTAATATGGGAACAGGTGGTGATGTGATGCGGCGGCACTGTAATAGAACAGCGTCCAGTGATGTTGCCGGGCGAGATAGAGGCACAACCTCGGCTCAGAGCTGACGCGATTTGTAGTTCACTATCACCGCCGGCAGTGCTACCCGACGTTTGGTCAGACATCGATACTGTTCCTGCAGATGCCGACTGGCATACCGTCAGTACTGCGCGGCAGCCGACACCGCCCGATGGGAATGTTGGTATGGCGAGTGACATCGGGTCGGGTCGCCGGTGACACCGGGTCGCACCGGTCGGCAGCCGGAAACCGACACCGCCGGGTCACCCGTCTGACCGGCGGTGTTTTGTGACGGCGGCCCGCTCGCGTGTTGGTATACGGGGTCAGTGAGTGCTGGACCACATCGTGACGGACCAGGTGGGACGCCGGGGCCCACCGAGCTGAGCGAAGGACCACTGCAGAACAAGCGGTTCAGCGCTAAAAGACGAAAACAGTCGATGCACCCAAAATCCACAATAAACATACAACTAATGATTATCTTCCGCTTCAATATTAAGTTACTGCAGCGGGCTCCAGATAAAAGCATGAAAGGTCAGAACAGCTCCGTATGCCTACTGCCGGCCACCAGGGAAGGTCGAAGCTCGTTAACTCGTCACCACGCTGACGTTTATTTAGTCTTCGCGTGGTCTGGGCTGGTGGGGCTCGTTACCAGGCACCTAATTATGGAAGCACACGCTGCAGTTTATTCAACGAAGCGCCGAACCCTCGACCACCATGCGTGAGATTCTGTCCACTGTGAACTCCGCTGGCCGGGCCGGTGCCCGACAGAAGCCTTAGCCCTGGGCGGTAGTCTTAGCCCGATTAGAGACGGAGAGGAGGGAGGGGCGCCGACGCGTCGATGGGCGGTGCCAGCCGACTCAGGGTCACGTCTCGAGTAATTAACCTGGGCGAATAGATAGAGCCGCCCGAGGCCTGAGCTCGTATTCCGGCCGCCCGACGCTCCGACCAGGTGTTGATTAATGATCGCTCGCCTACTGAGAACCAGCTTATTTAAATAATTCGACGCCGTTATCGGGACATTTAAACGTCGCAAACAGTGCTATCGGAGAGCTTGGGGAGGAAACTCCCAACACTGCGATGTCACATGACAAGTGTGTTTGCGTTATCACGTCAGCGGCTTGTAAAGATGCTGATAAGATTATGAGAAAAACTTTTTTTTTGCGTTTCTCATAATGATTTGGAAGATTTAGTTCGCTTTTTTAGATTTATCAATTTGGTTTCACGAAATGTACTTAATCACTTGCTCACTCACTCACTCACTCACTCACTCACCACTCACTCACTCACTCAGTCACCGGTTTGGTATCTGTATATGTGACAAATACAGGAAGTGTCGCCACATTCTCACCTGAGACGCGTGACGCGTGACACATGCCGCGTCACGGTCGACAGGTGTTAACGTTAGCGCCGGGCGTCACTGTCCGACGGACCGTCACGATCTACAGCGCCTGTGACGGCGGCGAGTAACGGTCCGAGCGACAGGGGAGCGGCTGGTCCTTCCTAACGCTCTCACTGAGGGCTCTACATACCCTGTGGTGTGACTACGCTGGCCTGTGACTTATGTGTATCTTTATCTGATGCCTGTAACTAAACCTTCCAGTTTTTAATGCTGCGTTGTGGATTTGAATAGATCCAGCGGAAGTTGCTGAACCATTTGTATTCCGTCATGCTGCGACACTAATTATAACTAATATCATTGTCGGGATATTTCCTCAGTCATTTTTGCCTCAGCGTTGTCCGAGTCATTTTTGATTGTAAGTGATAACTTTGACACTTATCCGAGGTATTTGTCCATGACAATCCCCGAACAGGACAGTGCGGTACGCAATCGCCCCTGACAGCGGGAAGAATTACCGTCAGGTAAAATGTCAGGGAATTGGCTGATCTGTGGTGCGTGACGGGGTTGTGGCCTGTGGTTTGTGCCAGAACTGCCTAGGTCAGCAGTCAGCACTGCAGATGGGTAATGTGCATTTGGTTACACTTCTGCTATTTAGTTTTTTTCTGTCTCTCTTCCTCTATCTGTCTGTCTGCCTGTCCCTCCCTCTCCTCTCTCCTCTCTCCTCTCTCCCCTCTCTCCATCTGTCTCTCCCTCCGTTGCTCTTTCTTTCTTTCCCTTCCCTCTCCTTGCTCTCTCGTTCTTTCTTCCCTCCCCTTTCCTTTTTCCCTCTCTTTCTCTCTCCTCTCTCTCTCTCTCTCTCTCTCTCTCTCTCTCTCTCTCTCTCTCTCTCTCTCTCTCTCTCTCTCTCTCTTCCTACTATCTGCGATGAGGTCTGAACTGGTCGGTGATGACTGCTAATTTATTGGCCATTGTCTGGGCGAAGACGCCGGTTTCGGAGACTCCTCGTGCCGATCGAACGGGCGAACAGAGACGAAACCGGCGCGGCGCGGTGAAAGCGCGCTGCTGCACGTCTCCGATGCGCCGAGATAGTCGCCCGGCGGCGCGTGTCGATCAAATAGGCGACAGGGCTGTCGGTAATGCGTCGGGGCGTTGGGAACGGCCCGACCGGTCACCGCTACCGCTGCCGTCTCATCAACACCAGGCCTTTTCAGCCGGCCTGATCAATAGAGCATTTCACCTCGGTCGGCGAATGACTCCACGATTCTATTCACTCCCCAGTGAGTAGATTGGTTCACCTATGTTAGCACACTATTGCATCTTGTTCAGGTCACTCTATCCAGCTGGCAGATCACCGCACTCCAGACATCAGATCTTTGCACCTTGGGAAACAGACTCCTCCGTTCCTGGTCACCGCCCTAGCCTCCCGGCCCGGCGCTGGGCGCTGGCGTTCATAGCTAGCTGTAATAGTCTGTGAAACCAATCACCAGTGCCGCCCACGGCCCCCGGAGCGGGTCATCTCGGGGGCGGCTACGGTAATGAACTGACGCTCAGCGGTCTGTGAACCAGCGAGTTTAGAAGATACAGGCGCGGCTGGCCGCTTCAGCGAGATGAGAGTGAATTCAAGGCTATGCTAGGCCGTTTAGCCTGCTGTTTGCTGCCTATTAGGGAAGTGATTGGAAGAGTGAAACATCGTTCTGGGCGGAATGACTTTGTAATATCTGGAGTGCTACAGGCGTAATCGATTCGAGGCTACTTGTGAAATTTTCCATCTAGCCAAATGGCAGCATTATTAGTGGATCGTTACTGCGAAGTTATTCATAAGAACGTCTTCCAATAAACATTTGCACCTTCGTAGGTACCCATGGATGTGATCGTGATGGATTTTTCCTGTCCATTTCAGGGTGATGAGTCGTTTCTACGGTCGGTGACATCTGTTGGCGTGTTCTGAAGCAGTGAACACTGAACAGTTCATCTGGCGTCATGGGGACCACCAATGGCGGCAGCGCGTCGCTGCTGGTGTTGCTCACGGTGGCGTTCGTCAGCAGCAGCGCGCAGGAGGTTAACACGGCGACACCGAACGACTACCGATTCGTCTCGTATACAGGTGAGTTTGCTCAGCTGCTCAGCCTTACAAAGGCTGACTGACCGTGTATGTACGATGCACACTGCTCAGACACTGGGAACGGCAAATCATGACGTCCAATTAGCGAAGACGCCTCGTGTGAGCGCGGCAATGGCCCGGCCATGGGCCAACACCACCTTTACCGTGCAGTTTGCTGTGACCCTTGATATGCACAATGGACTCCGCTCGCCATTATGTCTGTGAAGTGCACTATGGATGATTCGCCGACACATAACCGGTGACTTTTACCGGATATTTATTTCCTAAATGCCGTTGGGACTTGCTAATGTGGGACTTGGGAGAAATTCGCATCATGCCCGGGTCACTCTAAATCACATGAATTGAGCAGATGGAAGTGGTTCTGGGTGCTTTTCGTGATGAACGGCGCACGCAGTGACCTTTCTACGAGCATGTTGCACGGAGTACCGGGCCAGGCCACGATGCAACTGGCGTCACTGACTGTTATCTTGGGATCCGGTCTCCTGGCAGTAATGACACTGTCGTGTCTGTAGATTTATAGGGATCTGATTACTCGCTGTTGGTCACATTTATCACAGTGTTTTGAAAACGGTGACAGCTATGAACGTTTCCCCGGCTATGAGAGCACGTAATGACGACAGAAAATAGTTCAAAAGTTCGTAGATCATCCCATTCTTACGTCTCTCTCCGGTGGCATCAAATAATTCACCTCGCCTGGCCTCTGGTTGGCATGTTACGGGACTCTCTCGGGCCTCTCATCTTCATCCCGACCGCCTTGCCCCTCACCGGTCTGTCCGAACGCGCTGGTCATGTTGAAAGTGCCAGCGCCGGCGGCCGGCCGCTTCGGCCCAGGATTGATCGCAAGATTGTTGTCGGCGACTAGTCGACGTGACGAAGTGTAGCGACGCCATGGATGGTGATCATGAGCTGGGAATCCCGACCCGGCTCGCTGATCAGCTCATTGAAGTCTGCCTCTGGCCTAGTTGCCTGTTGGACATATGTGCCGCCCGGTACGTGTCTCATTTATAAGATGATCCAGCAGAGAGCAATCCTGCATGGCCAGTCTGCGGTAGTGCTCATGATGACTGACCAAAATGAACGAGGAGTGCTCGCCTTGGCCCTCATTAGTACATCGCGTTGTTCTATGCTTTACATTCCTTTGTGTACTGATTGAGGTCTAAATACCTATTCGAATTTGCTCTGTTTAACGCTAACTTCAAATTCATAGCCAAAACGTCAGTGGTAGGTACCTGCTGCCTGCTATTCTGCCTGCAGGATGTTTGGAAAATGTTTTGGTTAGGAACTCTACAATATATGATATTTCGACGTATTGTTTCAATATCCCATTTGCTTCTTCATAAGTGTCCTGCATTATTCATTAGGACTGGTCTTGCTGGAGGCACATCTGTCAGTCATGATCGTTTTCCGGCTCGTGATCGTTCAATCCCCTCAGTAAAACGGTGTTTAGATTGCTCAACAGTGACTAGACATATTGAAGGTGTCGAGAAAATGCGCAGGATCCGGCAGCGCTGAGTTTTCTCGCCGTGTGAGATAATGGAGCCCGCCGGCGGCCGGCCGTCGGAGAGCTATTATTCGGACCGGCACGCCAGGTCTGTGGTGAGCCAGGTGCCGCCAAACACGAGCTAATTGGGAGCGTCTGGCAAGCGGCACCCTCTGTCGAACGTATCACCGCCCATCACAATGGAAAAAGAGCGCCGCAGCACGTGCAGTAGCCGGCAGCGCTCTGTTGTGGCCGCATCCTGTCCAGATAGGCATCTGTTCAGTGAGAACAGTTTGTAGCTACGAGTTTGTCCGTTACTCGCCGTCACTCTGCCGATCTCGTCTGCTCGGCAACTCGTCCCACCGGTCTTTTCGCGCCGTGACCTCGCCGGTGACCTCGGCGCCCCTTTAGTGGACTGTCTGGGTGGTGGTCAGCCTGCACTTCCCGTGCGGCGCCACACAATCAGACCTGTATCCTTCCTGGGGCGACGGCGCGGCGACCCTGGCGCCTCTTCCTGGCGTCTGCCGGCCCCGCCAGGCGGGCCTACCCCGGCCCCGGTCCCAGCCCCGGCCCAGGTCTGGTCCGGTGAGTGGTGACCATATCGGGAGGGCTGGCGTGTCCTCCAGCCGGCCGTCGATCACCGAAAACCGGCGCCCAATCCGTCCGGTAGCGCCGGTGTGTAGTAACAGCGGCGTCTGCGATCGCGGCAGGAGCGCCGAGACACAGATGGTCGCGCTAACTGTCCCAGGTGCTCTCCCTTTTAGAATCCTGAAATCGTGAAAGTAGAACCATGTGTCGAGGTTGTGAACTCCTATTCACGCTTTAGTCCAGTCCAGTTACTTTAAACAATCACGCTTTCCACTCGAGACCAATGTGGTTTATATGGCGTTTATGTCCCGATTCGGCGACCTCCAAGCACCACCGATGCCACCTCTTTCCCGTCTCTGCCAAGGTGGTGAGACCCCTCCCCTGTCGCTACTCTCTCTACCTCCCGTGGCTGTTGGGGCGGGTTGACCATGACCGCCAGACCAGCATCCAGCCCCCCTCCCCCGGGGGCGGCACGTGCCTCTCGTCAGACACGATGCTTCAGCACCTCTTCCTCTGTATCTCGCCGACCAGGACAAGGACACAGCGGACTCTGAGGCTAGTCCTCAGGGGACAAGGGACGTGCTGAAGGCTGGTGGTCGGCGAAGTGACGGTCGATGTCACGGCTGGGCTGGCTCGTGTCGTAGAGGGTCAGACGGTGCCGACTGAGGGTCAGGTTTGACTACGTCTTGTGTCACCGTTGTGTGACCGTGTGTCACTGTGTATCGTTACACACCGTGTCACGTCCGATCGTGAGGTTGTTGAGGCAGTCGGCAGCCAGTAAACGCCAGCTTACTCTGCCTCTGATGGAGATAACCGCAGGTCAGGGGTCAAAGCCGTGCCCGTCGGAGGAACACCCAGGTGGTCGGGAGTTGTGGTTAGCTCGATAGAGCACGAAGAGGCTCTCTCCTGTCCACATCAGAAGATGAGTGTTATCTCGACACGCACTTGGTTGACCGAGCCTGTCTGCAGTGTCCACCGGCTGTGCATACAATGTGTTTGATGTTGGTCTGGTCCTCTCTCCCATCACTCGGTCAGACCACCAATGGTCCGGCGGTCCTTAGGCATCCAATTATCACTCCATCCTCGTGTAAACACACCCTCTTGGCAGCGCGGCCGGTGTGAATGCCGCAGCAGCTCCGCCTGTGCGAGGGACGGCTGCAATCGTGCGCCTACAAACATCTCTGGGTCAGCCAGGTGGCTGGGCCGCCTCCGCCGACCAGCGTCCAGTCACTGCGAGCTGACCTGGCGCCGCCAGCCCCCGCCCCCGCCGCATACTAATGACCCGGGCGGCACCGGGACGCTCTGCAGAGAGACCTGCAACTCGGCGCTGGCCGGAGACGCGCGTCATGCCCGAGCTGTCCAGCCCGCCCCGTGAATAACAATGGGGGCAGCGAGCGGGACGGCGAGCAGGTCCTGGTCTGTGGAGGGCGGTATGGGAGAGACGGTGTGGCTGGGACGCTGGTGTCCAGGTCTGCACTTTGCACGCAAAAACACAAAAGCGCATCATTTTTAGTTGATGTACTTAGCTTGCATTTAGCTGTCCGATTGGAAAAAAAAACGTCAATTTATCTTCCAATTTAGATAATCAGAAAACACAATAAACTGGTCACCAGTTTTGATGAAGTAAGGAATAACCTATGCGATCAAACCAGACTAACTTTTACATCCAACTTTTATAATTGCCGGGTCATCCTTCTGAGCTCGTCTCCGCCTCTCCCGGCCTTAGACCCAGAGCGCCCGGTCCGGTTAGCCCCATTCATGGACACCCTTTAGTCGCGCGCGCCGGACCGACTGTGCGGAGATTTATCGGACCCATCATTCACACTGACACCGGCTAGCTCGGCTCACTGGGGTGTCGCGGCGCCCAACCAGGTCACGTTACCTCAGGGCGACTGTCGCAAATAAGTCGGCAGACGGCGTATCACAAGACGAATCGGTGCGACGAGCCATTTATCATCGCTGCTTCGCGAAAGGGTGTAATCGAACTCGCGTGAATCAATAAGCTCTTCTCGGTAATGCGATACAGAGTGTAGCTCTTAGAGTTTCTGAGTTTGACCCATGGGTACTAATCGCTGATAGATCGTGTTGCGCGACTTAGAAAGCACTCAGTGGTTTTGATAGCAATAAGTGCTACTTTGCACATTATGAAGTGGTTTGTTTTCTGGCAATGTTATTGCGAATCCGTTCAATGACAGTAATGAAACGAATTAGTCAAATATTCCTGTCCATTTCACGTCCTATCCTCATCCAAAAATCTGTGTCAGGGTCGAGTTCATGGCTGCGGGCATTTCCTACGAACGGATTGGCCGCGAGTTACATCCCGCTACTGTAGTGCCCGCGGCGGCCAGTGCCCCTCCCTGTTCTCTGCACCCGTGTCTGGGAGTTTGTCCGCCCGTCTGCGCTGCAGGAGATGTTTGCCTGTCACGTTAGCTGCGCCTCTATCAGGCGCCGTAGGAGGCTACTGCGACGCGGCGCCGCATCAGTGTCGTCGAGTTGTGAATAATTCTGAGGAGTTTGCGACAGCACAGGGCAGCGATCAGTATTCTCGGCGGTGGCTTGGGGCTGTGTTGGCTGTCCGAAGCTGTCGTCTGCTCGGCCCTGATGTCCTCCGCTGTATGACGGCTGTCTTATGCTGATTCTGACAGTCTGATGATGGGCGATGCCTACGCTGATGTCTGGAGTTCGTCGTTGGCGGCAGATCGGCGGCTTGCAGTTGGAAATGAATGAGCTGTCAGTTCTCCCGTTATTATCCCTTCGGTGAGGATGAACATCCCCTACCGTCTTATGCATGAAGTCAGTTTTCACTAACTATTAGGCTATCATTTGACACGTAGAACAAAAATCGTCATGCAAACTGATGTGCGACAACTCGGCCCATGCACCTGCCTGAGCCTGAACTAGGCGGAGTCCATGT